AAAAATTATAACCTCAGCCTGAGGAAAACTTTCTTAAACAATACTGGAAATCCAGATGACTTGAAAGAAAAGACAGATATGTTGTCTTTTAACCACAGATATTTAACCACAAACAAATGTAAATTTTCCTATGGAAAAAAGCATCATAGACAACATCAACCAATTAGGAGAAAATATTTGTTTAAAAAAATGGCAGATAGGTTAATATCTCTAATACAGAGAAAGCTCCTAAAAGTTAATTTTTTTAAAAACAAAACAAATATGAACATGCAATTCATGGAAAATATTGATGACTAATAAACATACAAAAAGATCCTCAACATCATTAGTCATGGATATGCAAAACAGTGACATTTGATTTTTCCTCTATCAGGGTGGCAAAAATGTAAAACACAGATAATATCTAGGGCTGACAAGGACATGAGGAAATGTACACTATCAAGCATGCTTGGCGAACATCTGAATCTCATCAACTTTTTTGGAGAGCAATCTGATTACAGTAGAAAAAAATTTTAATGCTCATATTCTTTGACCTAGCAATCCAATTTAACTTAGAAAAAAATAATAATTTGAAAATACAGCCTTTAGTGTCTCTCTCTTTCCCCCCCCTCGTCTATCTAGTACACCTCACTTGATTTACTGTCTCACTTTCCAGCCAGCTGGACTCTCATGCTCAAGCCGTCCTCCACCTCCCTCAGACTCTAGCTAACTGAAGCTAGTGCCTGGAACAGGGAGATGGTCTTGAAGCTCTGAAAGGCTTTGTCTAGTGGGTTCCCCTGTGCTTTCAGGAGAGTGAGGCCAAGGACATTAGCTGAGTCAACATTTGCTTCGAATTCCTGGGCCTGCTGACAACGCACACTACGCTGATGGCACCTGGCAGAGGCTGCTGTGCCCTAGCTCTCCTGCTGGCAATTTTGGACATCCCGCCTGGTGGTGAGGACAGACCCCAGAGCAGAGACAGCCATGGGGGACAAATCCTGGGCTCATGGGGAGGGATGGATCTCATGATTATTTTCTGGTGGGGAAGGAAAGAAACCACTCTTCTTGACACTAATGAAAAGGTGAAAAACATAGTTTCTTTTTGTTTTGTTTTGTTAGAACTAATAATACTGCCCTCTCCATCAGACATTCTGCCTCTGCTATGTGTTGGAGAGAGCCTTGTAATCTGGGCCTCAATCTAAGATTCCGTCAAGCTCTTACACACTGTAAATTTACGAAATCCAGGTTTGAGATCCAGACAGTCTTCGTCAGCTTTAGCAACCCATTTAAGCACTCTGTGCCTCAGTTTGTTTATAAAATGGGTCTCCATGAGTTTCTCTATGGCTATACCGAAGATTAGATATATAGTAAAGCAGTTAAAGGCTCTATAGAAGTTCCAGTTGGAGAGTAGAAATAAAATATAAACCATTTCTTAATTAATGAATGGCTGGGATTGCAGACTTCCTTCAGATATGGGTCTAGCCCACAAGCTACTCTTCTAAGAGGGCGGCACTTAACCTCTATGGGGCAGCCTCCATCTCTATCTCCTCACCATTTTCAGGTGAGTGAATTTAGTTTATTGTGTATCTAAGAAGAGTCTTACAGGGAAAAACAAGTCATAGTTCAACCTGCCCAGGGAATAGGGAAGGGGAGTGGCATCCTGAAATCTATCTGGTGAGATTTTAGCAGAGAGCTGGATTTAACTAAGGCTGGGGTTTTGCAAGGAATCATGATAGAGGAAGTAAAGCTAAGGGAGCTAAAGGTGGATATAAAGAGGTTATAGCAATGGACCACAAAATATAAACAGCATAAGGAAGTGAAGTTGTGAGATGAGGGCCACTAAAAAGGTGGTAGTAGAGAAAACCATAAAGTCTGCAGACTGGTACCACCAAAGAGCCATGATCTTTGGATATCAATGGTCCCTCAATAATCTATGTTTCTCCAGTCAATTATCACTTCTATTCTATACAGTGGCCCATTTTAATCTCTGCTGTCCCCAGGGCCTCTATCTCATTTTCTTATCTAGTAGAAAAATTTCTACTCATCCTTCAAGTCTCAACTCAAGCACTTAACTTCTCTGTGAATTTTCCCTAATTCTTCCACACAGACTCCAGAATCTTTAAGATTCCTCAATTACAGTAATTGTAGAATTGAATTGTAATTTTTTGACAATCTGTCTTTACCTCAGGCTATAAACTCATGAGAGTGAGGCTCATGTCTTATTCAACGTAGCTCCAGCAGCACAGTGCTTGGCAGAATGGATGCCTAAACATATCCGTTAAATGAAGGAACAAAAACAAATCTATGAATGAATGGAATCATTGAGCTTATTTATTTAATTCCTTAACTTTCATTTTCCAGATGAATAAACTCCTGCTAAAGGAGTTAGGTAATTTGCCTATAGTCACACAGCCAAAGACAGAGTTAAAATTTGTTTCCTGTCTGCCAGTGTTGTTGCCGGATTGTGCTCCAGTCCTCGCTTGAAGACCTCTAGTGATAAGGAGCAGTTAGAGTAGCAGTCAAGGAACTCTACCTGCCCTCCATGGGTAATTCTTCCCTTTCCATTCCAGGAGGCATAAACATCACCAGCTCAGCTTCCCAGGAAGGAAAACGACTAAACTTAATCTGTACTGTGTGGCATAAGGAAGAAGAGGCTGAAGGGTTTGTAGTGTTTTTGTGTAAGAACAGGTCTGAGGACTGTTCCCCTGAGACCAGCCTCCAACAGCTGAGACTTAAACGGGATCCTGGGATAGATGGTGCCAGTGAAAAATCATCTCAGTTGGTGTTCACCATAAACCAAGCCACACCGTTGGACAGTGGGACCTACCAGTGTTGTGCCAGAGGCAAGAAGCCAGATATTCTCCTTCAGGGCCATTTTTTCTATGTTCAAATCACAGGTAAGTCTCTAATACCCTTCATGCCACTAGTTGGGACAGGGAAGGCTTGACAGCTAGAAATATAAGCAGATGTTTTAGGTCCTGAACAGGCAGTCTCCCTTCCTGTGGAGAGTCCTTCCCATCAGTCCTTTTCCATCACTCCCACTGGCAGATGCTGACTTTCTTCAAAGCACACATACAAAGGTAATATCATTTTGTTTTTAATTTAAAATCTTACTGTGGTGGCCATCGCATTTTATTGACAGGGAGACTGAGTCATAGGGAGGTGAAGAGATTTGTCCAATGCTACTCATAGACCAATGACAGTAAAAGCAGATAGAGGTCTGGAATTTTAGCCTCCCAATTCCCAATTCAGAGCTCTCCCAGAGATGTGGCTATATTTCTAAATACAGGCAGACAGAGAGATGGCTTTGGGATAAAATGGATAAATGGACGTTTATCTTAAGGAGCATTTAGTTTCATGAAACAGAAACCCACTCAAGCTACCATAAATTGGGGGTTGGGAGCTGGGGAATAAAGTAAAATGTACAAGCAGCCTTCATGAATCCCAGTTCCTGGAATCAGAAACCAGAAAGCAGACAGGACCCAAAACAGTTACTGTCTCAATCTCTCTGAGGCAGCAAGGCCTCTCCTTTCTGCATATTTCCTTCATTTTGCGCATGCTCCACCTGCTCCATTACTAGTTTGGCACGACCTAAACTTGGCCACTCCAGCCCAGCTTTATATGATTTCCTCAAGTCATATAAAGTGCCAAACAGAGAGTGAAGTGACTGTCTGTTTCTATATTCCCAGACAATAGAGCAAGCCTTCAAAATTCTGTGAAAAGATTACGTTCTACATAGAATTCTATATGCAGCCAAACTACCAATCCAATGATTTTGTTTGTTTTTTAATCATATTTTTTTACTACCAATCAAATGTGAGGAAAGAATAGACACTTCTGACATGCAATGACTCAGAACAGAAATCGCCTCCCATGTGATCTTTTAAAGAACCTACCAGAGGATGTGCTTCAGTAAAATAAGAAAGCAAATCAGTAAAGTGGATAAAATGGGGTCTAAGAAACAAGGACATTCTAGAATGAAAAAAGGCCAAAAAGGCAATTAGTCCAGAAAAGAGCAAGAGACAGGGCTTTGGAAGGGTGATTTCTAGTGGGTAAAAATAGAATTGATAGTTTTTTTTTTTTTGAAAGCCCATGACAGATCTGGTAAAAGGAATAAAGATACAGATATAGAAAACTCTGCCAGTAAAAACAAATAAAATAAAATCAGGTGATCATTACCTCTAGAAAAAACACTAAATTTTACAAAAGAAACAAAGCATACAACTTGACTCTGCAAAAAAATAAATTTTACAGAATCTGGATTATGTAAACATTACCAATTTAACTAAAAGTTGTGATATAACTATACTAGGAAGGATGCAGAGAAGGGAAGTGGGTTGAAGTGTAAAGAACTGTATCCTCATCTACTATAACAGAACGCCAATAGATAATGTCTAAACTTCATCATGAGGAAGTGGCAATATGAGCACATTATTTAGGAATATGGTAAAACATCTCCAAGAAGGGGCCAGCCCGTGGCTAACTTGGGAGAGCGTGGTGCTGACTGGTAAGGTCCCCTTACCAGTCATCTTTTAAAAAAGAAAAAAAAAAAAAAAAAATCTCCAAGAGTTGGCAGTGGGTAATAAGCGTAGGCATATAAAAGGACACTATTATTCTTTATAAATTTTTGCATACTATCTTATTAAGAAAAATAAACCCCTCCCCCACCCCCAATAAAAACCTGGCCCAGAGCCTTTTAACAAATGTTTTCATCATCCTCTACGGTTACTAGTTAATTCAAATGATCTATTTCAGTCTAGTTTGATTTGTATTTTCTTCCTTGCTTCCTGGTGTCTTCCTATCTGACCTAGCTATAGCATTCAGCACTTCTGACTATTCTCTCCTTCATCAAACTCTCATCTCTACCGGCTTCTGTGACTGTACATGTCTGGCTGTTCTTTTCTCTTCTCTGCCTCAATTTCCTCCTCCCACCTCTCAAACATGAGTATTCCCTAAGACTTACTCCTTACCCCTTCAACCTTTTCTACTATCTCTTCCAAGTTCTCATCCACCCTTGATTTAAACCTGTACCTCTTTGCTACTTTAAAAAAATCAATTTCTTCAGCTCTATCCTTTCTTAACATTTAAACATTTCCACTGACAATTAGACTCCTAGCTCCTGAATGCCCTACCATCTCCTCAAACTCAAAATCAAACCTAACCTCCTGAGACCCTATTTCTGTTCATGATTCAGTCAAAACCTTGGTTCCTCCTTTTTTCTTATCCCTATCCAGTCAGTACTAAGTACTACTAGTTCTGTCCCACAGTTTTTATTTTTCCAAAGGTGTTTT